AAGAGCCCATCCCTTTTGAGGGCGTGTGGCTGGTGTGTGTGTGTGTGTGTGTGTGTGTGTGTGTGTGTGTGTGTGTGTGTGTGTGTGTCTCTCTCACACACACACACCCCCCAGGGAGCACAGACCTCTAGGGGTCACCCAAGCTCTCCCTGGCCACCAGCCAGTACCAGGTGCTGCCCCTTGAGCCAGGCTAAGGAGCAGCAGAGCTGAGCCCCCCAACACTAGGAGGCTGGAGAGACTGCCCAGCAGCAGGAGAGTAGAAGTCTTGCTGCCTGCAAACAACCCCCCGGCAAACCCAGACCAGCTGGAGAAGACATGCCCCCCAGCAGGACCCTCACCCCTTAGCAGGTGGCACAGGGCACGTGGCAGAGGGGGGTTGGCACAAAGCAGAGCCAGGCTTTGCCACTTGCCACCCAGGACGGCGTTTGGGGTAGAACAGAGGGATTAGAGCCACTCGCTGCATGGAGGGACCCGGCCCAGAGCTCCCTCTGCCCACACTTCACTGATCGGCGGCTCCCGGGCCGGCCTCGTGTCCGGCCTCACCTATGTAGACTCGTCTAACGATATCGGGGTCATCAGAGTCATGGAGCTCCACCACACACTGCTCCCCTTTCCCCCCCCGGGGGGGGGGGGGGGGGGGGGGAGGGCTGTCTGTGAAATTTTAATAGATTGAAGCGCAGCATCACGCGGCTCACAGGCCCCGTTCCCCAGGCGGGCGGCCACCAAAGCAGGAATCTGACAGATGGAGCTCGGCGATAAAGCCAGGAGGGGTCCTGCATAGCACAAGCCAAAGAAACTAGCAAATCCCGCCCCCAGCCCAATGGCCTGCGGGGGCGTTCCTGGGCTTCCGGCCTCAGACATGCTACAGTCGCTCCTCCGGACGAGTCTAGCTCTTCGGAGCCTGTCCCGAGATCTCAGGAGCCTGCAGCGCAGAGGCAGAGGGGCAGGGTGTGGCTGGGTCCCAGTGCCGCACCAGCCCTGTTCTAAGCACCGGGCATTGCTGGCCACAGCATAGAGCAATCATGCCAAGGCCACGCGCACTCGCCCAGTCCCATTGGGCCCGGCCAGGCAGGCACGTGCAGTACAGGGCACTTGGGGACATCTCTGCATCCTCACCTCCACTCCGAGATGCGCGGGTCGGGGTTTCCAGAGGCTGCTTTCCCAGCTTGCTCCTGCAGCCCCTTCTCTCTCTTGCTGTGGCTGGACACACCTGAAGGCCTGATGGAGAAAGCAAAGCAGACAAGCACTCCATTACCTGGTCATTAGCAACCCAGCCCCTCATCTCCTCATCACACTCCTCTGGGAGTGGGAAGCTTTTGTCTTCTTGCAACTGGGGCCAGCGATACACAACACTGAGGCTGTGCCTACATCGGCGTGCTCTTGCGCAACCGCTTTTGCGCAAAAACTTGCTGCCTGTCTACACTGGCCACGAGGTCTTGCACAAGTAAACTGACATTCTAATGTATGAAATCAGGGCTTCT